AGTTTGCATCATAACCAGTCTGTTTGCTCAAACTCCAAACCATACAGAAGCAGCAGCCACCGCTCCACAAAAAGCCATAATTAAGATTTGGCTCTCATTCTCCTCTTCCTCGTTATCATCTACTCACAAATTCACTAGCTTCCACAGCACATCAAATTATGAATGAAAGGAAAAACACAGACTTCAGTGGCCTCCATGTTTACTTCTTTGTTGTTGTTCTTTTGCGCATGTGGGTCAGTTTAAGACCATGACTTGTTCACACTGGAATCTGATATTGGCCCCATTTAAAGAATAATGTGAACAACCAAACGAAAAACTCACATCTGAACAATAAATCAGAATTGAGCGTTGTGAAAGTAGCTCAGCAGACACTTCCATCCAATGAGTCATGTTGCTAGCATGGCTAAGATTGTATATTATATTATATAATCTGTAACAAAAATGTGCTATGATGATAATCTGAATGTACCATTGATTTGAGCAAGGTCCAAAATAAATTCAAACTTCACAAAAGAGCAGCAGACAATGACACCTGAAAGAATTTCCACCAATGTCCATTTGTAAGATACATTATTTATATTGCAAGCCAACTAAACTACAGAGGTGTTTTTGAAACTTTTATCCCAGAAAATGTTTTTCTTCATCTTTGCTGCTTATACTCTGTTACACCCTGACCTTCCTCCCTCTCTGGGCCTCAACGTTTCAGCTCCCTCCCGGAACGACCAGGCTGCTCCTTCAGGGAATTCCTCCCGCAGAGAGGAATAATGCTCAGGACTCCTCTCTGTCTTGCAGCACTTTGTCTGTGTGTGTGTGTGGCTGTGTGTGTATACTACAGCTCTTTGATGGCAGAAGAGGCTGAGGAGGATGGGCAGGTGGCCCAAGTTTGTGTTTATGTGTGTAGGAGAGGGGACACTTTGTGAACCTCTTCTGTAAAAACTTTCTCAGATGATTGAAGTCTGGAGACAATAACAAACAGCATTCCCCTAGTATGACAGATGTCTCCTCTTGATAAATGCTTCAGAAACTCCCTGATTACTCTAGCTCACTGAATCATTATGTGGCTTCAACATTTACAGTTGCTGACAATATGGCGTGTTGTTTTTAATTACCTGTTGTGTTGAAGCTCAAATTAAATCACCCTCAATAGTATAAATGCGTGATTTAACTAAAACAGCTTGCATTTTAAAGGATCCATCTCCGTGACAAGTTAATGAACTCCAACCACAGTGGCTTGGTTGAAAGCTCATGAAAAGAATCTAGCAAGTAAACCTTGAGTTGGTGTTGTCAAAACCTCTATTTCCAAGACCAAGAGAGAACTTTAACACTTAATTTAAACTGGGATAAACTGTAAAAGTGAAACCACAACAGCTACTGAACTTGCATATCAACAGATCCAGCTAGACTTTAAATTGGGTTGGTTTGTCAAATTATTGATGATTATTTTTATTTTAAAAGTTCATCATTACAAACAGTACATGTATATTCTGAGGTTATAAAACATTCCTCTACACCTAAATCTGCACCCCACTATCATTTCCTGGCCAGCACATTGTCATTACATTATTGCAAATCAAAAGAACGACAATCTCTCTTTATCATATTCTTCTCCTCCTTATTATTTATTCATTGTTTTTATCTAATCACCTGATCAACTGAGCAGGCATGTCATTTTTCTTTAACACCTACAAACTGACTCATGCCTGTAGCCCCCCAGGGCACCATGTCACGTGACGTCCGTGTTAACTGATGTTCACACAGTACGAATGTATAAATATGAGTCATCCCCACACTCAATTCACAACACATTAATAAATCTTCACCAAGACTGCCTATAGTCCTACATAGAGCTATATCTCACTGAAACCAGTTCTCAGGTAATTGCATAACCACATCATTTCCACACTGTAGGCCATGTCGTTTTGGATAATCACACAGTGACTGGCATCTCTTCCCCAAATGATGAATGCACTAGGAGATTGACCTTAATTGAGTTTGATTGCTGCATCTTCTAGCAGGGCTCAGCAAAACAAACTGAATGGGTTTAGTGGTCTGTGACGAGATCTTTTCTTCCCATTTCTCCTAATTATGTACATGGCGGGGGCTGTGTGGCTGTGGAGGAGGGACAGGAGGCCACAAATCAAGCTCAATGGAAGCTCCGAAAAGCACCAAAAATATCAAAAACACAAGATTGCTTTATATTTGATCTCATTGAAGGCAGTTAAGTGGAGATCAGACAGATGATGATGTTATGGTGCAGGATAATAACAGTCTTAGGAAAAGGAGAGGATATTCTGACAGTTTAAAATAATAGGCCAGTTTTTTTGTTTCTTTTTTCTAGACTTGCCTTTGAAAAGTCTAAATCCACTTATGTATTTACCACAGTTAAGCTCATATTGTTATGAAGGTCTTCCTGACCTCCCAGAAGTCACAGGCTCCCTTTGTTTTCAGAAATCCATTCAAAGCTGTTCAGAAGGCTGCGCCGCTTTGTTGATGTGATACATTACGTTCAACAGTGTGTGTATTGCAGTTTGTACAAAGATGAACAAACACTTTCTCTTTGAATGGAAAACACCACATTGTTTTGGTGAGAGCAAGTCAAATACAACTGCTTTTGATCAACAAATCATAACAATAGAGGTAATATAAATGGCACTGGATGTATTGTATATGGAGCTTATATTTTTCCCTATTAAATTACTCTACCTAGTACACGTGCAAAATTTGCCAAAGACCATATTTTTGAAGCATAAAGAGAAATAAGAAATTTTGCATTTATATTACTCAGTATTAATTAGTTTCCAGGATGTTAGTTTCATAATCCGAAATCAGAAACTATTTATGCAGTCCTTTAAACTAACTGCAAGACTCACCTCGTGTCTTTTTAGTTTGTTACTGTAAACACGGTTCTGTCTAAAACTGAGTGATACGTCTCTGCCAGCATTTCTACTGGCCAACAATGAAACCTGCTGATCTAGGTTCTCCTGTGATCTCTGTGCAAACACAGAAAGAGTATGCCTTTCAGTGGAAGTCAATTAGGACAATAAATATTGCCTTGCACGTTTGCATTGCCAGTAGCACGGTTCTAGGGATGGCAATGTTCATCAGTTGGTCAGTCGGTTGGTCTTCTACTCGTCTCCAGGCTGATAACTGCAAAACTAATTGGATGGGTGTTTACGAAATGTTGTGCAGGCATTCATGGTCCCCACAGAATGAATTTTGATCCTCTGATCTTTCATCCAGTGCCACCATCAAGTAAAAGTTTGTGTGATACTAATGGCTGCACAACTAATGCTGCGTTTACAGTTATTTAGCTAATGTTAGCAGGCTAACACACTAACCCAAGATTGTTTCTTTTTGTTTTGTTATGTGTTTGTGTGTGTTTATGGTATTAAAACAACCATGTCCTACTATCTGGAATAAGTATTTTGTGCAACGTGTCCCCCTTTTTTAGTGTAGATGAATTAATTGGCTGATAACCAACCATGTAATGGCTCAAAAATGTAAGGTTATGGAGCACCCTGACATATGAATGTCATGAGCTAAAATACTTCATTAGTTTCATTTACAGCATCTCTGCTCAGTGGTCATCCAACTTGTGTTGCAGAACTTTGCTACACCCAGTTTCTATGGTTACACCTTGCTGCGCTCTGCTCTTGGCAGTCAGAAAGTCCTCTGGAGCACTGCACATGCATCACCTTTTAAGCTGACAGAAAGGTGAGGCAAGGTGAGACTCGTACACGCCATTAAAATAAGAAAGAACAGGGGGAGTTCATACAGCTGAATGAAAACGCTGTGCCTCCAGAACCGGTTGCCAGATGTCCTTTGCTGTTCACCCTCTTCCTCCTCATTACTTGGCAGTGCTTAAATTAGCATACCAACGTGTTTATTTGTGAATAGGAATAGGACACAACCAGAGGAGAGTGCTCTGAAATGAAACGGCAGATTTAAGCACATGCCTTTGTGCACTTGAGATTCTGTCTTTGAACTATAGCATACATCTGTTGAGCTCCTCCGCTGACCTTCCAGGATGCACCAGCCACTTTCTCAGCATCTCTGGCCCTCTCCTCTATGGGTAGCCGTTCCCGCTGTGTCAACCTCTGAGCAGATGCTGAGCTTAATATGTCCCAGGGGTTAAATGTCCTCTGCTTTCCACAAGGTCAGGTTTACACTGCGACGACTTCAAAGACAATCGTGGTTGCTGGTTGAGAGGACAGAATGGCAAACGTGGAAGACATTGCAAGAAACGTCTCATCTCATCATTGAAGATAAAAAAACAACAACAAATGATTGCATGATTGCAAGGTGTGTATGTGCGTGTTGGTATGCACTGGGTAATTCATTCCTAATAAATGACTCAGTATTCAATGGGAAATGTGTGTTTGGCTCTGTTTGCCGCCCCCCTATGAATACAGATACAGGTTCCCAGGATGAGGGTACCTGGTCTAATTTGACTGTAGGTGTGTGTCTTCGTTTTTTCCTCGGTGAACACGAGCTTAGAGGAGAGAGGAAAGAGACGATCCCCGGAGCGCTGTGACATCAAAACGCGCT